TTTACTCCACATGTCTTCTCACAGAAATGTGCCCAGTCTTGAACTTCTGTCTTTCCTGCATCTAAAATGTTTGAAAATCCTATTTTGTCATCATGTTTCTAGTTTACAATATACCACAATCTAGATCTGGAATAGGCAGTTTTATTTTTGGAGACCCAGAGTATCTGTAGGTGTTCATTCCACCACAGTTCTTAATGACCTAAGTCAGCTCATCATTGGCCTAATGGGACCGATTTTACAGCTTCTCCCAGCTCTTCCAGTGCCGGTGTGTGAAAGACACCAAGAAAACCTGCAGACACACCGGCCCTCCAGGACCAGGACTGCCCATCTCTGATCTAGCTCTAGATTTGAGTTAGAAAGAGTAGTGGTCCCAATACTGACCTCTGTTACTGACTTCATTAATCAGACCACCCGAATTTGAGCATCCTCCCCTTTTCTGTACCCTCTGTTTTCAATCTATTAATTACTTCCCACTGGAAATACTTGCACCACCACGAATGCCCTGTAGAGAACTGCAGAGTAATATAGCATCGTTATGGCAACTGGCGACACCTGTACTCACCTGTCAGTTAGTTGGCAGCTCAGCCAGGAAGTCTGTTCCACCTGTGCTCAATCTACGACCATACCTGTCTCATGTGGAACAGACTATTTAAGATCTGGGTTTGGAGAGTGCTCTGGAAGCAGAAGCTTTGTTTCTGACTACGTGTTTGGGCTGTGTTTCCCCATGCCAGACTGTTTCCCCTGCTCTGCTCTTAGGTTCCCTTCATGACCTGCGATCGCTGCTCACATTCAGATTCAGGCAGCAGCATTAAACCTATGGCTTCCAGTTGCAACACTTAACCCCGGCTCATTTCAAACTGGGTCAGCCGTGTGATACTCTGCCAGAGCAACACTGTAAGAGCAAGTCCACAGGGCAGCAGTCCAGAACCCCGGGACCAGGCCAGCAGTCTCTTTGGCATCACTCCACTGATGGCTACTGGCTCTTCAAACGTATAGACTGGGCTGCTAGAGGTGAATACAGGCAGCTCTTTAAGTAAAATAGATACAGCCAATTTCTCAAAATTGATCAAAAAGATCAAAATTGATCAAAAGTCTTTGAGTTCATGGAAAAGTAGCCCAGACCCAGAGGTCAGGGAACCGGCTCTAAGGCTCTGAGCCAGAGCCCATACTGCCGAGCAACAGGAACAAGACCATCACAGGGCACACACAGACACAGACACGCACACACTCACACCAGGGACAATTCTCACAGAGGTCAATTTACCTACCCATACGCGCAAAAACATTCAAACATCTCCATTGGCTTCCACAGAGTTGCAGGAATAGGCCTTTCTCCTACAATATGTATTCACACAGGCTTCTAGTAGAGATAAAATACAGCTGAAATTAATCTCAATCTGCCTTAAATTAATTTTTTCTGCACAATTATTGGGGACTTACTGCATGCAAAGCAACAGCAATGCACATATTACAACAATAAGTTTGTTTTAATCTTGCATTCTTATAGGTTTTTTTAATATTTTACTTCAGTTTATATGAAAAAGTGTTTTGTTAAATTACCAACAGGGGTAAATTAGGTTTTTATTAGGTTTACCTAAATGTGGACTGTAGACTTGTAGTGAAAGGTGCAAATTTTAACATTTCACATTTCTTACAAAACATTGACAAACACACGGAACAAAAACCCTCTGCTTTTGTTAGACATTTATCTAATTTTACAAACATATATCTCACATTTTTAATTATTTAAATTCGATATGGGGGGCTCTGACACCTCAGTCTTGCTGCAGCAATATAAAGCAAACAACATTGTCACAGTCACAAATCTCTGGCCAGCCCAGAATGCAACAGAACAGCGAATCCTGGCTGCTCATTCTGTGAACAAGCAGAGGGAACCCAACATTTTAAAATTCAGATCCCTTACTTTTTTACAGTGCTGAGTAAAACCCTATAAAATTGGGAATTGGGAATTACAATTAACATTAATGTTAATTCCAATGACTGAATGGGAATGATTTCATGGCAGGATAGAAGACAGAAACATTTGCTTTTTCTAAAAAGAACAATGTTGCCTGTCTCTAGAGTACCTAGATGACCCAAAAGTCTACTAGAAGAATATGTCCTTAACAAATGAGTCACAGATTTAACCTTCTTGGCTCCAATGGAAAATGTTTTGTGTGAGAAAAACGAAATACTGCCTTCCAACAGAAGAACCGCATCCTGACCATCAAGCAAGGTTGTGGGAGAGTGAGGGTTTGGGGCTGCTCTGCTGCTCAAGACCTGGATAATTCACCATCATTGACAGAACCATGAATTCAGCAAATTCTGGATGAGAATTTCAGGCCATAAGTTCATCAGCAGCAGGTGAGTCAAAGTGCCATGCAGCAAGACAATAATTTAAAACATACAAGTAGATCTTCAACAAAGTGGCTGAAGAATAATAAATTTCGTTTTTCAGATTGGTCAAGCCTAGTCTACAGTACGTCTAAGTCTAGACATAAAGCAACTGAAATGTTATGGCAGGACCTGAAGAGAGCTGGTCATGTATGGAATCTCTCAAGAGTCACCAACATGAAGCGGTTCTGTAAGGAAGACTGGGACAACATTCCTAGAGACCAATAGAAGAGACTGGTTAACAGTTACAGGAAACTTTTAGGTGAAGTCATTGTTGCTTAAGGAGGTGCAACCAGTTGCTGAATCTAAGTGCTCATGAAGATCTAACCACAATTTAGGTCTAAAATACATAAGAACATGGACCAACCGAAGGGTTGAAAAATGTTTCTTGGAGCTGTATGTATTGGTGAAAGGTAGACATTGCCCAGTAGCAACATAAGATGGCCTGTTTTTTCTCTACTTCTTCGTGATATTAATAAAAAAAATCTTCTTATTTATAACAGAAAAAATAATACAAAGAGAAGAAGCAATAATGACAGGTTTACTCATTTCATTCTTAGTAGCTTAAACATGAAATAAAATCATTAGGACTTTACCAATTTTATTAGTGACACGGCACTAACATCATGACTGGAGGCTGTTCCACTCACCCAACACCTTCAGTGTAAAGCAGGTGTGCCTGCTGTTTTCTGTCTAGAATCAGCTGAGCTGAAGATCCTCTCATCCAGATTTCAGTTTTGATTTTGAAGTAAAACTCTGGGTTGGCAGTCTGGATCCCATTTTGAATTTCAAAGACTTGAATCCAACTGTTCTGAGTTCTTCTGTGCTTCAGGCTATAAAGACTCCTTTAGTCTTTGTGCAGCTAAACCTGTCATTGCTGTCATCATTGCCCTTCTCTGGACAATTTACAGAGCTGAAATATTTAATAACTTTTGACTAGAGTTAACCACACTGCTGCAGACAAAAGTCCTACAAATGCATTATTGATGTTGTAGCATCTGCTCCTAAACTTGTTCTTGGTCACCCTTCAGTGAATAATCTGGTTTCGGTAACGTAATTGTTCAGCATGTACACATCTGAAAAACTCCACACATATGAAGTAATATGAGATTGTTATTTTTACTAGGGAATGTTTGTACTTTTTTGCACAAAAAAAAACAATATATCACTTTTTTTTGGTTTACAAGTAAATTAGTGGGTGGCATGGTGGGACAGGGGTTAGCAGCACTGACCTGAGCAGTTGTCTGTGTGGAGTTTGTATGTTCTCCCTTA